TAGGCACACATATATCCCTATGATATGATGTTTTCAAATCCTCTGGGAAAATTCCCAGTAGAGGAATAGCTGGTTTAAATGGGATTTCCAGTCCAACTTTTCTAAGGAGTCTTCATACTGATTTCTGTAACGGTTGCACCAGTCTACATTCCCACCAGCAGTGAAGAAAGGTTCCTTTTTCCCCACAGCCTCTCCAACATTTCTTGTTGGTTGATTTCTTTATGATAGCCATTCTTTCTGCGGTGAGATGATATCTCAATGTTGTTTTAATTTGCATTTCACAGATGGCTACTGATGTGAAGCATTTTTTCATATACTTATTCGCTTCTTTAATTTCATCCTCTGAGAAGTGTATGTTCATCTTGGATGCCCATTTCTGGACTAAGTCTTTAAATTTTGGGGCCTTAGTGTTTTTTAATTCTTTATAAATTCTAGAGAGCAGACCTTTGTCTGAGTACTTATTTGTCATGACTTTTTTCAAATTTGTGGGTTGTCTTTTCACTTTGTTGGTTATTTCTTTTGACGTGCAAAAACTTCTCAGTAAGAGCAGGTCCCAGTTGTTAATTCTTTCAAGTGTTTCCCATGCGATTTGATTTTTGTTCATGAACTCTTTGCCGACCCCTATGTCTTCAAGAGTTCCTCCTACTTTTTCTTCTAGGAGATTTAGTGTCTCTGTTTTAATGTTTAGATCTTTAATCCATTTTGACTTTAGCTTAGTGCATGGTGATAGACCTGTGGTACTTTTATACAATGGAGTATTACTCAACTATAAAGAATGATAAACTCGAAGCCTTTATATTGAAGTGGATGCCACTTGAACATATACTCATAAGTGAGATAAACCAGACACACATGTGTAAATATCGTATAGTTTCCTTAGTATAAGAACTCCAAAGAAGAAATACAAATAGAAAGGTATAATACAAGTAAAAGGAAAGCAAGAACTCGAAGACTAACTAATTAAGAGAGGGAAAGGAGAAGAGCTAGAAAACATGACAGTGACAAGCCATACAGTTATATGTAGAAGATGGGCAAGGCAATGATCCTGAGAATCTCCAGAAAATTTTTGAATCTAGCAGTTAATTGGAAAGATTCTCACCCTGATTAACTATATGTACTGACACCTGTGAACTAAGCAACTGCACTGAAGATGGCAATTTGTAATAGTAGTTCATTCTTGGAGTGCCTGTCATTCTGGTCTTCTGAATAAGGGCTGCTTGTCATGACATGCCAGTTGCTGCTGTGCTGTCTCTCATGTAGATGATTGTTCAAAAAGAAGGGGGTGGTGAATGAAGGCAGGAGACAGGAAAAGGAATGTTGCAGGACTGTCCTGCTTCAAGGTTGTATATGCTTAGATTTCTGCACTTATGTGTAAACATAAGAATTATATAATTATTTATGCTTATTTTTAAAATATATTTTAATTTTTTTTTTCTGGATCCGGGGATTGAACTCAGGCCCTTGCACTTGCCAGGGAAGTGCTTATTCCAATGAGCCATCTCCCCAGCCTCTCATTCTAATTTTTAAATGTTTTTTCATCATATTCTGTAGGGACCTAAAGTTCAATATACCAATACTTGATGAAAAATACCTGTTCCGTGCTATGCCTAAGATGTTTGATATTCAGACGGATAGTGAGGTTAAGCTTAACAGCCTAGGTTGTATGGTAATAACAATAAGCTTGTCTTCTGGAGGGTTAACAACCTAGGTTTGTAGACCAAAATTAGAGAAAAAGGAGGACCACAAGGAAAGCCAACATTTTGGCCCTAGCCTTCCAAGGTCAATTAAAACTCAGGACATATGAGAACTTGTACTGTAATATCACGTAACTCAGTAATGTCCCAAATTTTCTGATCAAGGAGATTATGGGGCCAAAGAAGAAAGTGATCAATGATGTAGAGTATACCTAAGAGAGTCACATGGAGAGAAAACATTCTCTCAGGCTTTCACAGAGAGCACACTGGCCAAGCAATGGCGTGACTCATCCACATGGGTGACAATGACAAAGGTTCTACAATCTGATGTATAGGATCTCAGGATAAATCCTGAGGGGATGTACAGGTCTGACCTTATCAGACCCAAAAGCTACAACTCTTGTTACATAGGTCTTGCTTTATCTTGGTCTTAACCATTCAGCCGAAAAGTATAAAAATGAAGTATAAGTAAAGTCATGCTGTTATGTTGAGCTGTAGGGGACTCAGATCAACAATTTCTGCTATTGCCAGTTAATCGGAAGACCCAATACTATTATGGACTACTGGACTCTTTTAGAATATTTTGCTGAGTTAACACACCTATAGTATTCAAATAATGGAACTAAACAAAAAAGGATATACAGATGAATGTCCATTTTGTATCTGTGTGTTCAAAATGATTAGGATAGATATATAGTTACATTCTCTTAATGAATAGAGGGATTTGTTCTAGTGGTGCTTGTAAATAGGATCTCACGTCCGCATCTTGTACAGCAATTAACCACTAGGAAGAATGTATGCAATGTGTTAATTATTGAAACTGACCTACCAATTTGGTTTGAAACTGTCTCATTGCTATTTGTTTCTCAAAAAATTATGGGAAAAATAAATAAATAAATAAAAATCCCCAGCCCCTGCACCTGCTTGCAGGTGCTTTAATCCACTGAGCTATTTGACTGGCCCCTATAATTTGTAGTTTTGAATGTGGGAGTTTGGAGAGAACTAAATCCCAGTTTGTATCTGTGTGTGCGGGGGCGGTGGGGGGTGCGTTAAATCCACCTTTTTCTGAATTGGAATAAGGTCTCCTGTTGCCTTCCTGGCTTGGTAAAATTGCTGTGGTTTTCTTCTGAGCTCACCTGGGAAGCTGTGTATGACATGTAATCTGTGCGTCTTCTCTTCCAGGGTCTTTCCTGTGTGTCTACAGTTTGAATTCCTTCAACTACACACAGAGTCCCAGTGCAGGCTCGTTGTGTCCCAGGCTACCAGTTCCTCCAAGGTAAAATCTTGCCTACTTCTTCCTTGTCCATCACAAAAGTATTGAATAATCATGAAAACTCGCTTACCCTTCTAGGAAGAGTGGAAAGCAAAAGGAGACACGAGGTAAAGCCTTCCTGAAAGGAGCTCACAGAGGCCAGGGACACATAAGGAAGAAATATTTGTAAAATCCACAGTGAGCAGTAAGTTAGAACTAGGCTGAAGAAGGAGAAAATGGAGCAAACAATAAAGATGTGTGGAATAACAACGCTAGAGCTAGCAAAAAATATTAGACTTTACCGAGTGAGTGATTTTACAGAATGTTTGGTGTGTATTTTTTCTTCTCCAGATATTTATTTCAAAGTAGAAATCATCCCCATTTTTCATTTCAGCCACACATTATTGGTTTTTATGATTTTAGATTCTTGCATAAGAAACACTTGTGAGAAGCCAGGCTTGGTGGCATAGGCCTATAGTCCTGGCCACCTGGGACTGCAAACATCAGTGGTAAGCATGAAGGGGCCACAGTGTGGGCCAGCCTGAGCAACTTGGCTAGACCTTGTCTCAAAATAGAAAAACAGAGTGGTCTACAGCTCAGAGGTAGAGAACCCCAGGTTCAGTCTCTAGTAACTGCACTGTCAACCAAAGGACTGTGAGGGTAGGCCCAGGGAGTCCCGCGGCTGTTCTCTCTGGGAACACAGCAGGTCCTTATCCAGAGCATACGGGCTGAAGTCCTTACAGAGTCTGACTCTTCCCTACCAAGCCGCACAACCCAAGCACCTTACAAACACTCATAAGGCTCTCATGAGGAAGCAGTGATCGCCAGGTGCACAGCTCTGTGCATCATTGAGAGTGCTAAGGGGAAAACCAGGTGATTGCCACCACTTCAGGGGACTGAGCTCTACTAAAGGGGTGTGGACTGATTCTGCATGGCCACTGTAGGGCCGTGCTATGTGTACCATGAATAAGAGTTCTGAAAAGCCGTTGGAAATAAGAATTTAAGTGAAACAAGACATTTTGTGCCAACCATCTAGGACTCTGCTTATCAAACAGATCTTGATTAAGAATCACATAAGAAATTTATTATATCAGGGCCCAGGGAGATAGCTCAGTAGAATAAGCACTTGTCTGGCAAGTGCAGGGTCCTGAGTTCAATCCCTGGTACCACAAAAAAAAAAAAAAAAATTATATCACAGCACCAGGATGTGCAAACCTCAGACAGAGAAGACTCCTCTTACTACACATGACTAACAGCAATAGCTCCTACTCTACTGCTCTTTAAAAAAAAAAAAAAATCATAATCTCCTGACTGGTTGCAAGATCAGCTAGAAAAAAGCTAATCTTCCACATAGTCAAGAAAGACTCAAGATTTATTTATTTATTTATTTATTTATTTATTTATTTATTTGATACAGTGTCTCATAATGCAGCTTAGATTTGTAGCGATTCTCCTGTTTTCAGCCTCCCCAATGCTGGGATTACAGGCATGCGCCACCACACCTGGTCTTGGCGGCCGGTTCAGTGTGCCCAGGGGTGGGGCCAGTGTGGCCTGTGGTGCTGGGGATCAAATCCAGGTCCTTGCACTTGCCAGGCAGGGGCTTAGTCTGCCGAGCTATCTCCCTGCTCCCTCAAGTTGACTTTAGCTACGTAAGAGGCAGCTATTTTGGTAGCAATTTTTTTTCCCAAAATTGATACTTATTGGACCAGCAAGATAGTTCAACACAGTAAAGCACCTGCTTAGGTAAACTTAGGCAAATGGAGGGACCTGGCACCACATGCCATGCCAGACCCACCCTTAGAGTGGGCTGAGCCGGCCACAGAGTCTGAGCCTGGTGGCACATGCCTGTAATCCCAGTGCTGGGGAGACTGAAAACAGGAGGATCACTATGAGTCAGAGCTGCATAGTGACACCCTGTAACAACCAAATACATTTTTAAAATAATAATAAATTAAATTAATACTGATGGATAATGAAAGGAAATTATTTGCAGAAGAATGCACTCATTCTATTTTTAATTCTAGCTATTGTCAGATATCATAATCATATCTAAATTCAGTATAATTTAACTGAGGAGAGTAAAAATCTAAAATGTTTTAGCAGGTTGAAGAAAAATTATTCAATACTCAGGAATTTTTTAGGAAGACTAATTTGTAACTGTACCTGCAGATGAAATTGAAAAAGAATGGAATTGCTAAGGTCGCCATGTAAGCAGCATTTAACAAACTCTCCTGTTCCTGTAAACTGGAAGGCAGTTATAATTCCATAGGAAGCTTGAATCCTACAGTGACAATCAGAGCAATCATGCCGAGCTTTTGATGTTTGCCAGGCACTTTTCTAAGCTCTTGGAAGCCCCACATATTAACTTATGTGGACCTCGCAAAACCTGCTGCACGCATTGTTTTTCATCGTAGTTGTACAACTGGGAAGACTGGTGCAGAGAGTTTAAGGCACTAGCTACAGTCAGCAAGTGGAGAAGCTGGCATTCAGACCTGGACCCTCAAGACCAGATGGTACCGCCTGGCAAGCAGCCTCCTCAGGCTCCACCAAGCTGGGAAAAGAAAAGGTCCTGGCGCATATGTCCTCGAGTTACCATCTCTTCACCTCCCAGGCTGAGCCTTTCACCCTTTCTTCCAGTACTATTGTTCTGTTGTTTTTTGTTTGTGTATTTGTTTTTGAGGCAGGATTGCACAATGCCATTCAGGCTGGCCTTTAACTCACAAGGTAGCCCCTGTTGGCCTCACACGGGTGAGGATGCTCTTGCCTCAGTCTCTAGAGAGCTAGATTATAGGTCCGCACCGCCATGCCTGGCTCCAATACCGATTTTTCCAGAGAACCCAAAACCTCTCTTGGGTGGAGTGAGTGAGACCAAAACAGCTTGAGGGCTCCATTTCCTTTTCCCACACAAGTAAGTGTTTGTTTAAAATAGAAATTACCATATTTATCATGGAAGAGCAGTGCCAAGATTTAAAAACTAGAAAACATGAGAACTGTGGCCTCAAGCCCAAGAACATTTTCTAAATACCTCTTCTCGACCACAATGAATGTTTCTTCTTCCTATGTTGATCACAGGAGGTATAGCATGCCCTTTTACAGCAATAACTGAATATCAGGAAGGTTTTCTACTAGGTTTGAGCTTTTAAGAGCAGCAGAAATGCCCTGCAGAAGGTAACAAGCGAGCCTATCTTTCTCCTTTGGTATTCAGCATAGTGCTGTACTTTGAGCTGAAAGGCTTAAGATCCCCCCAACCCCCAACAGATTCTACTTTGAACCTTCCACATAGGTGCCTGTGCTTGGCACTGAAATGTTTGCTCAGAGAAATTCCACATACGTGAGGCTACAGGCAGCTCTCCAGATTGCTTCTTGCACAGCTAGAGTGGCTTTGCTAGCCGCAAAAAGAAAAGCAGAGCCGGGAAGAAACTCAGGCTGCAGCCTATGAAGTTCACCCCATGCCGGGCTAATGACATACTCGGTGGGTGGCTGGTCAACCCCAACAGGAGCGATCCAAGCTCTACATACTTGTCTTTGTTACGTTTGGGGTTAAGAGGGGTACTTCTTCACCAGCATATAATTAAAAGGCACATGTGTAAAAGGTGCCACAGTTAACAAAGCTTTGTTGACAAAATTAAGACTTTGTAAATAATTGTCTTTGGAGGCAAAATAATTGTTTTTTCCTACGTTTACTCAGCCAAAACTCACTCTGCAAAGCCTCTTTATTTTCTTACCTTAAATAAATTAAGAGGAAACAAAAAAGATGGTATTAAATCTATAGCTGATTTTAATTTTCAAAATCACTAGAAACTTCAAAAACGTCTATTTTCAAAATATTACAAAAAGGGACTAGAGATAGAGTGCTTACCTTGAAGTGTGGGACTGTAAGTACAATCCTCAGCACCAAAGGAAAAAAATGAAATCAAATTTATAGATGTTAAGAATCTGTTTAGCAAATAGAAAAAAAATAAATTAATTAAAAGTTTAAAAATTGGAAAGCAAAAGATAAAATTAGTGTTCTGTGAATGGCTTATAGACTGGGAAAGTAAGAGAATTCACAGAAAAGCTCCTGGGAACAATAAAAGAACTCACTTAAGTGGCAGACAGAAGACTAAGATACTAAAATTTGAATATTCTATACTTTTAAAGATCTTCCTTGTAGCTCAGCAAGAAAAAAAAAAAAAACAAGCACGTACAAAAACTACAAAAGTGCCTCAGAACCAATTTAACAAGAAATACACAAGAACCGTAGCCAGAAAACCTGAGTATATTCTTGAGGTACAAAGAAAATTTTAATGGAAAGGCTTATTCTGTTCTTGGCAATGTAACTTAATAGGACAAAGTTGTTATTTCTCCCCTCAATATATATAATATTGATAAAACTAGCCTCCCAGGTCAATGACAAAAGGTGGACTATTCAGTTAATGGTACGGTACACCCAGGTAGACATCTGGGAAGACAATAAATGTATACCCCATGCATTATATGGATAAAGCCCACATGGATTAAAGGTTTTCAGCATAAAAATGAAACCTGAGTCAGATGCGGTGGTCCATGCCTGGAACCCCAGGACTCAGGAGGTAGAGGCATGAGGCCCCACGTCAACTTGGAGGCCAGCCTGGCTACACAAAGTTCAAGGCCAGAGTGCACTATGACATGACTCCCTTTCTTAAAAAGACAAATAAAAAAATAAAAAAAAAGAGATGAAGAAAAAAATGAAACCAGAAAGCACTGAAAGAAGCCAGAAGAGAATTCTTTTATAACTCAAAAGTAGGAAGGCTCTCCTAATGACTTAGTGCACTTAGCCGCATCAGAGCAGGTTGTTAACTTGGGGTGCAAATGAGAAATAAAATCAGCAGCAATGTCCAGACATCTCAAGATAGAATGGAATCATGGCATATGAATCTAGCCGTGTCACAAATATTTGACAGCCTCGCTGAAGAGGTAGAGGAGTTATACTAAATAGCCTTAGAAAATAGGTCTGTTGCTAGAAACTAAACTATAAACAAAAATGACTGTATAGACACACGAGTTCACGAATTTATCTCAAGGGTACAGTCTAGCAGTTCCAGAAACTGCACATGAGGGTTGATCATAAAAAGGCCTAGAATCGGGGCTACCTCAGGAGAAATGAGCACACCCAGGGCCCTGTCACAGTTTCTAATTGCTGTTCTCCAGAAGATCTTTGGAGCAATGGCAGATTCTAGGGATTTGATCAGGAAAAACCAGCTAACCTGGTGTCACCTCGTGGGTCCAGAAAGCAAGGATGTGTGAGGAGAAGAAAGGGACGGAGTATGACAAAAAGACACAGTGACCACTTAATGATCCTATTAGATTGTAACCCAAATAATAGCAAAATACTCATGAGTCCGTACTGGTGCAAAGAAGTGATTGGAGTCTCATGGGCTATTTGAGAAGGACTTCACCATGGGTCATGCGATACAAGTGGGAGACACTAAATAAAGCTAATCAGGGAAGTTACACGATTTAGTCACTGTGTATTTGAAAGCTTACTAGTAAGGGAACTTACTAGTTCCCTTAGCATAAGAATGTTAATCAGAAAGATACTTTTTGTGAATACAGGGCAAGATTTAATAGACAATATTAATCTGTTTACGAAAGAACAGCAATTAGAAGCCATGATTGGGGCCCTGGGTGTGCTCATTGCTCCTGAGGTATCCCTGGTTCTAGGCCTTTTCATGATCAACCCTCATGTGCAGTTTCTGAAAACTATATAGTACCCTTGAGATAAATTCATGAACTCAAATACAGTGTGTGTTTAAAGTACTCTGAATATTTCTAGACAGTTACTCAATATTTGTTTGCAGAGAGTGAATAAATTTAAAAAAACAACCAGAATTGGGGGCCTGGCCCTAGCTCAGGCCTTTAAGTGGCTGCTTCCACAAAGCTGTCAGCCTCAGGTTGCTGGAGTTCGAACCTCACAACTCTCCCACTGGCCTAAAGTGCCCTGAAGGCATTCGAGGAACAAAAAAAAAAAAAACAACCAGAATTTCAGAAACAAATTATTGAAAAATATTGTGTAGAAATATATAAAAACTGCCAAAAATATTGTTTACTACCCGGATGCTATGTTTACCAAAACATCCTTTTAAGCAAAAGACAGGCACTATGGCATTGTGGTCCAAGGGCAGGTGCAGTGACTTGCGATGGACATTGACCTTATCCCAAGGGTAGGGTATTAGAAGCAAAGTAGCTTTCTTTTAGATACTTGACTTAATATATAACATGTTTATATATTAATATATAAGATATATGCAAAAAAGAAATGATTGGATAAATAAATAAGGGGAAGAAAAGAAATCTTTACAGAAGAATTCCAGATAAGGTAATCCTTCTCCAACTAGAAGGTAGCAGTTACCCCCCTACCCCCGAGAGTACCTGAGACACAGCCCTCACTTCCAAGCATGGTGTAGGAGACAAAACGGTAACTATGCAGTGGGGAAATACGGTCATGCACTATACCCAAGTCACTGAGGTCATTTGCACCAGGCATGTCATGCTGCCAATTTTGTTCCCCAATAAGACTAATCGGGGCACTGGCCAAATAGCTCAGCAGATTAAAGCGCCTGTTTAGGCAGATGCAGAGGCCCGGGTTTGATCCTCAGCCTGCGGTGCCAGCCCGCCCTCCAGGTGTGCTGAGACTGAGAATTGAGACTGGGCGTGGTGGTGCGCCTGTAATCCCAGCATTTGGAAGACTGAACACAGGCGGATCACTACGAGCCCGATTTACATAGTGAGAACCTGTAGGCCCTGTTGACCCTGTCCTAAAATACAGAAGAAAAAAGAAAAGAAAAGACTGTGACTGAAGCACACTTCGTGCACATGGTGATCTTCCCCAAAGCCTGTCGCTGCAATCTGTTTCTGAGGAAACATGAGGCAAATTCTCCAACTTGATGCACCGTTTACAAAATACCCGATCGTGAACCTATGGAAATCTCAGTCATGAGACACAAAGAAAAATCAAGAAATTGTCACAGCCCAAAGAAGACATATGGCAACTGATGCAATGTGGCCTCCTGAATGGGATTCTGGAACGTAAAAGGGAATCTGTGGGAAAGACCCAGGCCAAATAAAGGCTGTAGTTCAGTGGATAGCACGGGGCAGCGGATATGTGTTAATATTCACAAAAGCATGACAGTCATGTAAGATGTTAGCTTTAGGAGAAAGTGAATGAAGCTACGTAAGAACCATCCGTTCCTTTTTTGTAGCTTTTTTATAACTTTAAAATTATTCCAGAATTGGGCCGGCCTGATAGCTCAGCGGACTAAAATGCCTGCTTAGGCAGAGTGCAGGTGGCCAAGGTTTGATCCCCAGTGTGCGATGCCAACCCCACCCAGGGAGCACACTGACATGGCGACTAGGACTGGGCATGGTGGCACCTACCTGTCATGCCAGCACTTGGGAGGCTGAAAACAGGAGGATCACTATCAGTCCCATCTATGTAGTGAGACCCTGGACCTGCCTTGCCAGACCCGCCCCCAGGGCGTGCTGAGACTGTGATTGAGACTAAGCGTGGTGGTGCACCTGTAATCCAGGCATTTGGGAGGCTGTAAACAGGAGGATCACTAGTCTTTATTTTTTTTTTTTACAATGGCCTAATCAAACTCCTTCAGTGTGAGTATAGGATTTTTAAAAATCTAACATACACTCACCTCCTTTTTTTTTGGCAACCTGTGCATGATGAATTCTGGCATCTCATTTTTACAGTCTAATTCTTGTTACCTTTGAGTTCAGCTGCAAACTTCCACTTAAGTTTTCTATTACATTTCTGTATGCTAAAAAGTGTGTGTAGGTTGGTATACAAGACACTAACAACAGTGGCTGCCTATGAGAAAATGTGCTCGGTGACTTAGGGACAAGGCAGAACAATTTCTCAAGCTTCAATCCTTCAATCCTACACCTTTTGGAATTTGAGTCAGGTGAATTTCTGCCCTTCAAACTTTTAATTAGGAATTTAATTCTTCTGTTGCACTACACTTTGCAGTGACTCGGGAACTAGCTCTGTAATAGTGTCACCTCCTGAGGGAGAGGCTGTCCCGTGTCCCATGCTGTGCTTCAATGGAGCTTTGGAAATCATTTGCTTTCTTCAAGGCAATCTGCTACAGCTTGGATTTGGGTTCTTCCTTGTTGCTTCATACAGTCTCAAGTGGTGACTACCTAGATGTTTAGCGACTTGATAAATAATTTGGCACTTCTTTTTTTCATTATTTGCAGCCTATGGAAAGAAAGAAGAGGAGGACCTTGTGAAGGTGTTGTGGCCTCATGAAAAATTAGGATGTGTATCCCTGGTCACTTTTATCTTTCAGGAAAGGGCTCCCAAAAGGCTACCTTTCACATTTATTCAAAGGTCATGCTTTTATTGCTTACTTGTCAAGAACTGTGTATATAGCCAGCCTTCGAGCCTTGCACACCTGCCTAAAGAAGTAAGAATAAAGCTGGCGCTGTCATTAATGCAGTTCTGGCTGATCCAGTCCCTACCCCAAGCAGTTCCTTAAAGAAACATCATGCTTGTGTTGGAGGTGGTAGTTTGCCAACAAGGACCAAGACATGAGAGCAAAAATTTTGTCCCCATGAAGAAATAGGAAGGCTGAACCTGGAAGACTTTATGTCAAATGAGATAAGTCAGGGGAATACTCCACTATCTCATTTACATCTGGAATCTAAAAAACTCAAATTCATAGGAACAAAGAGTAAAAAAATAGTTACCAGGGTCAGGGGGTAGGCAGAATAAGAGATGGTGGTCAAAGGTACAAGTTTCAGTAATATAGGACCAGCAAGTTCTAGAGCTACAGCATCTAACACGATGACTGTGGTTAATAATACTGTTTTGTAGGTTTGATATTTTAAATAAATTTCATCATGTAAAAAAATGGTAATGAAGAGGTAATGGATATGTTGATGAGCTAGACTATCGGAGTTATTTCACAATGTATATTTATATTAAAATATCACATCACACCCCTTAAGTTTTGAATTTGAAATGTTTTTTCCTGGCTTCTTCAGGTTTCCAGGAACAAGTTTTCTACCAGAGCATCAACCAGTTCCTATTAGTAGAGCTCCGATGGTTACCTGCCTTTCTAGGGTGTGCTTTGCCTTCAAGCTGCTAAACTCCTTATTACGACAGATCTTGTATTGTCTTGGCTGCTGAGAATCTTAAATAAGTATCATTTAAAAAGATAAATGAATAAACATTTGCCATCAATTCTTTATTTTTTAGCAAGTCTTTTCCCTTGTTTAACCGGTGCATCCCTCAAACACCTGAGTGCTATTCCCTGTTTGCATCTGCTTTGATAAATGATGCTGACATGCTCCATCAAATTCTAAGCGGAATTATGTCAGGAAGAGACACCATCCTTGGCCTGTGTATCCTTGCATTAGGTAATTTTTGGTTTACTTGAGTAACTCTTCTTATGCCATAGTTTCTAGCACTTCTGTATGTGTTACTGTGAAAATTAGCTTCTTGATTTAAAAGACTTCGTATGTATTTCTTTTCTAGATATTTTCAGTGACTTAGGTGCAAGTGGAGGAAGGGAAGGGAAGAATGGGAGAAGCCCAGCAGGCTACCTGCCAGAAGGCTTCACTGGATGGGGCTGCTTTAATAGACTGTGTTTGTGTGTGTGCTTAGCTCTGCGTGGGACTTGGGTAGGAGCACAGATTTCCAATTTATGAATTGGCCACAAAGAGTACAGCCACTAGGGAGACTAGAAACCACGTGGTTTGGCTCATATGGCATCTACTTGTGAGTGATCCAAAGTAGAAAGGCTAAAGCACCTGTAAGCAAGCACAGAGACCGGGGGCTTCGATCCCCAGGCCTGCTGTGCCAGCCTTGCCCCCCCGGGGTGCGCTGAGACTGGGTGTGGTGGTGCATGTAATCCCAGCTCTTGGGAGGCTATAAATAGGTGGATCACTACAAGTGCAATCTAGTAGTGAGACCCTGAACACCCTGTAGGTCCTTCCCTAAAAATACAAAAAAA